TTAATCACTGTACCACTAGGGCTTCTTAGAAATGGGACCCAAATCCACTGCTACTGTCAATTACAACTCAGAGAGACCTAACAAGCACATGAAGAAATGTTCAGAATCCCCAGCTCTAAGAGAGATGCAAGTCAAAACAACGATGAGATAACATCTCACGCCACTCAGAATAGCAACATTTAACAGAGCAGCAAACAACAAATGCTGGTGAGGTTGTGGAGAGACTGGAACCCTGTTGGAGGGAGTGCAAAATGGTGCAACTGCTATGGAAGGCTGTATTGTGCTTTCTCAAAAAGTTGAAAATAGAAATATCATTTGACCCAGCATTTCCACTACTGGGAATATACCCTAAAGAAACCAGACCTGCCACCCAAGCAAATATATGCTCACCCATGTTTATTGCAACATTGTTCACGATAGCAAAGAGCTGGAAACAACCTAAGTGCCCATCAACAGGCTAATGGCTAAAGAAGTTCTGATATAGTCACACAATGGAATACTACGCTGCATTGAAAAACAAGAAACTCATGAAATGTTATACAAAATGGGTGACTCTGGAGAACATTATGCTAAGTGAAATATCTCAGTCACAAAAAGACAAATACTGCATAGTGCCACTGTTGTAAAATGGACTGACATCAGAGTTGAGGGAAACTAAGAGGGGATAAATAATGTATACTGCATTGAAACAGATGAGGGAGAGAACTGTTTAGGAGGAGTATATGATTAGGTATTATTGTCATGACAGGAGTCCAGAATAAAAGCTGCATAGTGGAGTGGACTGGGGTGGAGGGATTGTATAACAATGAAATTTATTTTTTGTTTTACTTTTCAAAGAGAAAGGCGAACTGGGGGGAGGGGTGGGCAGGGAAGAAAGTGCAACAGTGAATGAATGGAAATTCAAAGTCTCTGTAAACTTTCATTAAAATAAAAAAAAAATGATTTCTGAGAAAAACAAAACAAAACAAAACCCTCAGAGTGACCTTACAGGATGGAGCAGAACTTCCCCATGGGTTTCCACAGTTGTTCATCATCACCGAAGGAGATTGCCTCGTTGTTCTCATCAGGAGTGGTTGGTGGATTGAACCACTGACCTCTGGACTAAAAGCCCAATTCTTTAACCACTGCACAACCAGGGCTACTTAAATATGTAACCCTTCTCCCAAGAAAATCACTTTGGTGCATAGCTGCTTGCATGTAACTGCACCCTGGTGACCAGACGCAAGAAATGTAACATCTAATCAGCACCTGGTTTGTTGTCCCTGTGGAATTGGCTCAGGGTCACAGCCACTTCATGTATAAAGTACATTCTGGACGCACTCCTAACCTGGTTCATTCATTCTTCTGCAAGTTCACAGTGTAGTTAATATTACTGACTTACACGGTCAACTCTGTCATACCATCCATCAATGATAGTACACATCAGAAGTTGGCTGGTCGTTTTTATGCAGAAATTACTGGAAAGAAGCTGCACTATAATCCCAAAGGGACGCAGTGCAAATCCATCAACTCCTGTGCAAGAGAAGGATGGACACTCTCCTCCCGTGTGATTAATTGCCTCTGAAAACCCACCAGAGGGTCAGCCATGGGTCAGTTCTGACTCGATGGTCCACAGCAACCTCCCTGTGGTCATTGCTATTGGCTCCTTCCACCTACCACAACTCTCAGGCTTTGTTGGGTTTATTCTGTCTCTTGTTCTTCACAGCTGATGTTTTAAGAGCACCCAGGTTAGCTAGTTTGCAGAAAGTCCCTCGATGTGGATTTGTCTGAGGTTTCTGTAACTTGATGACTTCACACTCAAGGAGGTTGACATTTCCAGTTGACCAGTGTCTCTGTGTGTTGCAGACACACATGCTCACTGCTGCTGCAAAGGCAGCACCCAAAGCCCCGTCAGAAGAGAGGTGTGGGGAACCAGCCAATGAGAGCAGCAGAACGCATTGCTGCCCTGACATGCATGGGCTCACTGTGAGTTGGACACCACAGTAAGTGGTTATTTTGTTTTCATGTTGTTGTTGTTGTTAGGTGCTGTTAGGTCAGTGCAAAAGGAGAAGATGTGATGTGGGGGAGGCTGATTCTGACTTCTACCCACTTCATAGAGGGGAACAGTCCCCATCAATAATATCCATAACACATACAAATAACTACATAGTCCGACTTGCCACTCCACATGCTTCAGCACTTATTTTTACCAATCATTGTTGTAAGACTCACATATTTTACTCACAGTTGTGAGGTTTACTAGGGAAATAGGGGGACCAAGAATACCATACAAGTTCAGGTTTAGCTCAGCGATCTGAAGCTAGATTAACAAGGCACAATTCTTCAGTTAGTGACACTCCAAGTTCCATTCAACTGCACAAATGCAAGAAGACTTTGATTTCCTCAATCATCCAGCAAATTTTATCTCAGAGCAGTTAAAAGCCAGCTTTTCTTTCAAGCATCCAGCAATCAAAACCTTTAACTGTGGTCTTTCTCTCAGAGCAGTTACAAGTCAGCCTTTCCTTCAACCATCCAGCAAGAAACACTTTTAGCTGCGGTCTTTATCTTCAGGGTTCCTCTGGTTACACCTTGCCACAGTCTCTTCACAGTAGGGCCACAGTCTTTTTACAGTTTTTTCACCACCATCACTGCTGTTTCTCATAGTGTGGAAAACACTCTCTTTTGTATTGGCCCCACAGCTGTTGATGATTTTGCAAGACCATTTGTCCACAGTTAAAGTAGCTGGCACCATGCCCGTAAGAGGAGCTAACACAATGGCTAGAAATGCCAATATTCAGGGATTCTGACACTCCACTCAGCTCCAACTCAAAGCCTCCCCACATACAACAGAATGAAACCTGAACCACTTCTGCCTCATCTGTACCCCATCTACAACAGAACCATCCCCTAATGTGTCCCTGTTCTGACATGGTGACTACAAAGATTGGGGGAAATCATGAGGCTGGTTCCAGATCCAGGTAAGGTTCTGATTTGTTGTTTGTAGGGTCGCTGTAAGAAAGTTGACTCAGAAACACCCAATAACAACAACAAGGCACTCGTCCTCTATGGAGCCCTGCTCCTCTTCAAGCTCCCAGGGTTTGGCTTTGTACCTACGTGCAGAGGAGGGGAGTTACAGGACCTTTCTTCCGTGCATTTGGGCATCATCCCCCCACCCCGTATGTTGGGGAGTCTTGTCTTGAACCTGCACATCAGCTCTCTCAGAGACTCAAGACATTGGGTTTCCATGAAGGACCCCTTTTGTCTCTATAAGAAAAGGGTCATTGAGTGTCTGGCACACAGCAAGGCCTCAAAAAACATTGGTAGAATTAGACCCCATTCAACAACACCAAGGAAGTGATGGTCAGTGGTAGAATTCCTGCTTTCCATGTGGACACCGGGGTCCAGTTCCTAGCTAAGAACAAACCCCACCACCTCCCATTTCACTTGCCAGTAAAGTGACACTGAACAAGTATCAGGACTGTTATGCGTTGGAAGCCACCTGAGGGTGAGGGTGTGTGTGTTCCAGATTTAGAAAAGCCTAGCAATCTACTTCAAAACCCCACGGACCACAGTGGTCCCATCCACAACCAATCATGAAGCTGCCGAGCATAACATTTTACAACATAGAATTTAAGGTTCAGAGAGGGGGTGACTTGCTCATAAGTCCCACTACTCAGCCCTCAGCCTTGGCACAAAATAAGGAGGTGGAGAAAGCCCTGGAAGGACCCACGTGCTGCCGCCCCCCCAGGATTTGATAATCCGAGTCCAGGAGGGTGAGGGGCTGGGGCGTATAAAAACAGCTAGATTAAAATAATCTGAGTGGAGGACGCATATGCAAATACTCCTCAAAGAGGTAGTGTATTGGCTGATATGGGAGGGAGGGGCAGGGATTGGGGCAGCAAGACATATTCAAATATCTTCCTCTTCCCCCCCCCCACAGTGGACGCTATGTAAATGGCAAACAGACACATGAAGAAATGCTCCAAATCACTGGCAATAAGAGAGATGCAAGTCAAAACCACAATGAGGTATCATCTCACTCCAGTAAGAGTGGCAAAGTTTAACAGGGCAGCAAGTAATAAATGTTGGAGAGGATGTGGCGAGAAAGGAACTCTTACACATTGTTGGTGGGATTGTAAAATGGTGCAACCATTCTGGAAGGCAGTTTGGTGCTTCCTCAAAAAACTGAACATAGAAATTCCATATGACCCAGCTATTCCACTTCTTGGAATATACCCTGAAAAAATGAGAACTTAGGCACAAACTGATATTGGTACACCAATGTTCATAGCAACATTATTCACCCTCGCAAAAACATAGAAACAGCCCAAATGTCCAACCACAAACTAATGGATTGAGAAATCATGGTAGATTCACACAATGGAATACTATGCAGCACGCAGGAGCAATAACTTTGTAAATTATTACCTAACTTGAGAGGGATTGGAGAACATTATGCTGAGTGAACTAACACAGTCCCACAAGGATAAATATTGTATATAACCATTATTGTAGAATGAGTATAAGGATCCAGGAGGGGTGGGAGAGGCTGGAAGCAGAGGGATGTGGATGTGCAGGAGGAAAAGGAGAATTAATCATGGGGTTGTACAATTTGATGGGTGGAGGGTGAGGGAAGTTGAAATAATTTGTTCGAATTTGTATTAGAATTTTGTAAATAAACTAGTAAAAACAAACAGCTAGATTAAAAGAATCTGAGTGGAGGGCGCATATGCAAATACTCCTGGAAGAAGCAGTGGATTGGCTGTTATGGGAGGGAGAGGCGGGGAGTGGGCCGGTAGGACATATTCAAACAGCCAGCGCGGAGGTCTAGGATTGGTGGGTATGGGTGGGGCGGGGCGCTCGGGGGAATGAAGGGACGGGGGATATTCAAATGACCAGCGCGGAGGTCGAGGATTGGTGGGCAGGGGCGGGGCGGGGCGTGCGCGGGGCCAGGCGGGGCGCGTCGGAGAGTCGCGGAGCCCTCACCTGGACCAGCTGCACCTACACCGGGCGTCGGGGCGATGCCTGCGCTCTGGGCTCTGCTGGTCCTCGGCTGCCTGCGGCTCGGCTCAGGTATGCGGGCACCGGAGGGGCTTCGCCCAGGTGGGACAGGTGCAGGTGTGTGTGGAGCGGGCGCCCTGCAGGGAGCCTGGATGGGATGGGGCATCGGGGACTTGGTTTATTCACCCAGGGGTCCACACGATGCGTGCGCCCGGGCAGTCCCCCAGCAAGTGCCGACACGCAGGTATTGATAGCAACAGCAGGAATGATAGCAACACTTACTGAGTTTCCTCCGGCGGGGATGGAGGGCAGGATCCAGCCTGGCGTGGACGCTGGGAGAGGACACTCAGGGACTCGGAGGTGCAGAGGAGGGACTGAGCGCTTGGCGTGCCTGGCCTGGAGCGGGTTTGGGGTGGGGGGAGACCGAAGTACTTTTTTTGGTTGAAGGACCAACTCGAGCTGGAGGTAGCACATCCATGGAAGTGACCAGACCATGGGGTGCAGGGTTTGTGCTGGGTGAGGGGCGTGCAGGAGCGTGAGGCTGGGAGGACCCGACCCAGAGCAGGAGTGTTCCCTGCAGATTGCATGTCAGAGAGCAGAGGTGAACAGGAGCTGTTACCTAGGTCCGCGTGGTCTCACTGACCTCCGGTGGGTTACTTCTCTTGAGGACCTTCCGTTGGCCTCTGAGGCTGTCAATCTTCACAAGAGGAGACTTCCTCCTGTTAACAGAGCAGCTGCTGCATTAAACCACCGACCTTTGGGTTAGCAAGCTAAAGCATAAGGCACTGTGCTACCAGGGCTCCTAGGGTCCAGGTGAAGAGGGTGAGGACACAGGCTGGATGATGGGGCGGAGATATTCTTGGCAGGGTGGCTGGGTCTTGGTGATGGAATGTTGGGGAGCGGGGTGATGTGTGTGGTGGGGCTGGACTGCCCAGTTCTGGCCGAATGGCTAGCTAGGTGGGGGCAGGGATGCTGCCGTCTCTGAGACCAGCTCAGGAGATGGCCGGTGGTTTCTGGACCCTGGATGCAGACACACTGGTGTGCACATGGGCAGAGGTGCCCATGGCTGCAGCTGTCACTGCCCAGGCTCCGTGTCCCCATTGCTTGCCTCCTCCAGCTGTGGACCTCCAACCCCAGCTGGCCAGCGTCACTTTTGCCACTAACAACCCCACACTTACCACCGTGGCCTTGGAGAAGCCACTCTGCATATTTGACAGCTCTGCCGAGCTCATTGGCACCTACGAAGTCTACCTCTACGTCCTGGCTGAGACGGGTAAGGGCTCTGCCTCTCCCTGACCCCTGACCAGGGCTCCTCCAGTCTGCAGGGAGAAGCAGAGGCAACAGGCAGACAGGGCTCTGTCCCTGTGACTTGATACCCTTCTCACTTCACCAGTAAGAAGGAGCCTTGGCACACTGTAGGTGAAGCATTGGGCTTCAAATCCAAAGTGTGGTTTGAACCAGTCAACTACTCTGAGAGAGCTGAGAGATGGACTTAGTGATCTTTTAAAAAATCAGTCGATCGTAGATGTGTGGGTTCATTTCTGAATTCTCAGTTCTGTTCCATTGGTCTATGTGTCTATTGATCCAGCATGAGGCTGTTTGGATTACTGGGGCTGTAAACTCGTTCCCACTGAGTCAAAAGCACCCACAGCTGGCCTGCCAGTAAGTTCTCAGGGCCAGTAAATTGCCTGGGAGGAGATTGCCCATCTTTATTCCACAGAGCAGCTGGTGGACTTGAACAATCTACCTCCAGGTTGACAGCACAACTCTTTACCACTAAGCCACCTGAGGTCCATGATAGCTGCCTGTAAGCCTTAAAACCAAGAAGTGCAAGTCCTCCTCCTTTGTTCTGTGCTTTCAACATTATTTTAGCTATTCGGGGCCTCTTGGAACTCTGTAGAAAGTACTAGCTTTTCAGAGATCTCTGGTGGCCTGGTGGCAAGAAGCTGCACTGCAAGCCCAGAGGTGAGCAGTTCAAATCCACCAGATGCTGTGCTGGAGGAGGAGGGACCATCTCTGATTTGACATACACACACAAAATAATAATAAAAAAGGAAAGTATTAGTTTTTTGACTTTTGTTAAGAAAGAAGGCTGTTGGATGGGAGAGGGTTTGATCACACACAGAGGGAGTGACTTCTGGCTGCAGCAGCCAGGGCCTCACTTCCGCACTGCCCTTGCAGCCAGCCTCAGGAATGCCTCAGTGCAGGACCACACAGGTGCCCCGCTGAGCTCAACCTTCCGGCAGACGGAGGGTGGGTACACAGGCCCCTACAGAGCCGCAGCCTTCCAGCTACAGTCCTGCAGTGACCTACCCAGCCTGGATGCCGTCGGGGATGTGTCCCAGGCCTCGGAGATCCTGAACGCATACCTAGTCAAAGTGGGTGCCAACCGAACCTGCCTGTTTGACCCCAACTTCCAGGGCCTCTGCAACCCGCCCTTGTTGGCGGCCACAGAGTACAGGTGGGTCTCTGCAGCTCTGAGCCTTGCCCAGTCCCTAACCCCCAGGAAGACCCAGGGCCACATCCCTTGAGGTTTGGCTGTGTGCCAGGACTGTCCCAGGTTCCCTGCAGGGCCCTGTGCTGCTCATATGACCCACACAAGCAAACTGGCCACTTATCCTTCTCGGCTGTTGCCATCTTGACATTCTTAAGCATTCTGGAACAGAAACACAAACCCACTGCCACCGGGTCATGCCCCCTCACAGTGGCCCTGCCGGACGGACTCGAACTGCCCCCAGGGCTGCTGAGGCTGTAAATCCTGATGGAAGCGGACTGCCTTTCTCCACTATGTGGTTGACAGGCTCAGACCACTGATACTGTATTTCGAAGCTGAATGCTTTACTCAAAGCGCCAGCAGAGGTTCCATTCTGAGATGGCCACCCCACATCATCCCCCGCGTCTGTGGGCCTGTCTCTAACCCATAGTGACCTTCCAACCTCCCGTGGTTTGCAAGACTGGAAATCTTAACACGAGGAGATCCTGCCCCACAGAGGTCCCTCACTGTGACATGTTGTTGTTATGTGCCATCGAGTCGTTTGCGACTCATAGCGACCCCATGTACAACAGCCCTAAACCCTGCTCTGTCCTGTGCCAATTGCATTGCCTCTGACACTCCCATCCCAATTACCCCAGTCACTGAATCAATCTACCTCATAGAGAGTCTTCCCCTCCTGTGCTGTCCCTCTACCCTCCCAAGCATGATGTCCCTCTCTAAGGACCAGTCTCTCCTTACAACATGCCCACAGAAGATGACATTTCCACACACAGGCTCCTGGCAGTGAAAGTCCTGCACTAACCCCTCCACTTGATAAGGAAAGAGGCCAGGCTGGACAGGGGTGCAGTCCTCCAACAAAACGCAAGTCTATGAAGACCTGCCCACCCCTGCTCCCCTCTGCTGTACCCCACCTCCTTCCCTCCCCATCTCCCTGGCCCAGTTCACCCCCACCCGTGTTTCCTGGGTATGTTCTCTGAAGAAATTGGAGTCTGACTCAGAGCTGGGGTATTAGGAACCCTGGAGTTCACTCCAGTCTTTGGTGACCACGTATGTGTCCAAGCAGAACTGTGCTCCCGAGGACTTTCAATAGCTGATCTTTCAGAAGCAGATTGCCAGGGCTTTCGTCCAAGGTGCCCTGGATAGATTAAAACTTCCAACCTTTTGTGTGGTGGTTTGTTTGTGTTTTTTTGTTCTTGTTGTTTTCTGTAGGTTATAGTTTGGGTGGACGCTTGCAGAGCATACAAGTTTTTCACAAAAGCGTTTACACACGTCTTCATGACCTCGGCTGCAGTGCCCCCAAACACCAGCACTCACCCCACTCCTTCCCCTACACCCCGACCCTGGAATTTCTCATTTCCATTCACCCTTCTTTCCTGCCCCTTCCTACCTTCTGAACTTTTCTTTGGGGCAGGTGCTGCCTTTTTTGTCTTGATTAGTTGATTGGACGGAGTATATTTCTTCCTATTATTATTCACTTTATGGGCCTGTTGCTGAAATCGCTTGGAGGTGGGTTCAATATTAGGCTTAAAGGGAATTTGTCCAAGGACCAATCTTGGGGGTTTTACTGGTCTCTCTCAGACTGGTGTTGTTGCTCTGTGGTGGAGTCATAGCTGACCCTCCAGCAGGTTTTCAAATGCAGGAAGTCACTTGGGAGGAGATTGCTCATCTTTCTCCCAAGGAGCAGCTGGCGGATTTGAACCGTGTGCCTTTGGATTGGCAGTGCGACTCCTTACCCACTGGGCCACCAGAGGTCCCCGTCAGACCAGTAGGTCTGGCCTTTTTACAATTTTTGTACTTTCTCCGTATTTGTTCCCTCCTTCTCTGCCCAGGACCTTCTCCAGTGATCACAGCAGTGGGTAGTGGAAGCCGGGCACCATCTCAGCTCTCCTGTTCTCTGGGTAGTAGATGCTGTGGTTTACATGGCCCGGTGGTGCTTGTATCTGCTTCCTTGAGTGTTTGATTTTCTTCAGTCTTTTTTTGCTCTGGAGAAGGTGAGACAGCTGCACCCTAGGTGTCTGCTTGTAACCTTTTAAGACATGGTTGCTACTTGCTGGAACCTTCAACCTTATGGGTAGCATCTGGTCATGTCCATCACCAGGGGCCTGGCCTGGTTAGAGCACTGGGGAGGCTTGTTGGTTACCATGGAGATGCTTACATGGGAGTCTCTGCAGCTTCTAGGCCCCCACTGATCCAAGCAGTCACTCCAGCTGTCCACCTAGTGGCCTTTCAGAACTCTGGTCCCTCTGTTTAACTCAGGCACTGGCCAGGACACGTCCCTGCTCTGCTCTTCTCCACCCAGACCCCTTCTCCCAGATCTGATTCCCTTCCTGCTTGATCACAGCCATGCCCTCTTCCCTGCTTTCCTGACTCTCTGGCTGCTTTGTTTAAGAGTCCCCCCTCTCTGTGACCACATTTGTGCAGAGGTCTGGCACCGTCCTGGGGGTACCCCCTGGAGCTGTCTAGAATCCCATGCCCTGGAACTGCACCTCCCCTCCCGAGTCTCTCCCACCTACCCATGGCTGAGGCTGCAGGACAGAAGTCACCCTTGTTTTGTCTCCTTCCAGGTTCAAGTACGTCCTCGTCAACACGTCCACGGGTTTGGTACAGGACCAGACCCTCTGGTCAGACCCCATCCGCACCAACCAGCGTACGTGGCAGCGTGTGTGTGTGTGTTTGGGGGAGGTTCCTCAGGGGAGTGGGGAAGTCAGAAATCCGAATAGAAGGCATGTGACAGAGACATGCAGCAAAGTGTCCCCAAACACCCTTCAGTAAAATGCAGCTTGAAACTGTTTAGCCTGAAACTCCAGCCTCACTCCTTTCCTTCCTGGGTGACCAGGCGTTGTCACTGGGTGACTTGCTGGTGTGGGGAGACCTGGTGGGCTGAGGAGTCCAAGCCGGCAGCGTCTCGCAGCCACACAGTGAACTGCCTCGAGGATCATGTGGCAGCTTCCCAGTGTAGACCCCAACACCTCCTTTGTTTGAGCCTCATGTCTACCCATTGGCACAAAAGATGGTTCCAGGAGCTTCCAAGTCAAGTGGGGCTGGGGACCCAGGAGGCCTGGCTACCTGTTAACTCACTGAGGCTCCTGGAGCCTAAACTGGGGCCCCATGTCACTACCAGCCTAGAACCCCATCCTGCAGCTGCCTCAGGATAACCTGAGGTTACACACACACACACACACACGGCCACCACATCTTCACCTCTGAGACTAGGAGGAGGGTGAAGTCAGAAGTGTTACCTTCAATACTGCCTGTCACCCCATTAGCTTGTGGGGCGTGTGGGAGGCCGTAGGGGCTGGCTAACACAGCTGGTGTAGAGGGGATGTGTGTGCACCCCCTGTGGGGGTGGTTTAGTGCACGTGTGAGTGACAGATGTGTCCAAGTCCCTGTGTGCACATGTGCTGTGTGTACACATGCGTGTGTCTATATGTGAGTGATGCAGCTGTGTTCCTGTGTCTCTGTGTGTATGCATGCGTGTATAGCTGTGAGCTATTCTGTGAGATGTGTTTGTGTGTTAGGGTTAAGGTTAGGTTATTAGGGTTAGGGTGTTTCTGTGTGAGATGTGTGTGTGTGTGTGTGTGTGTGTGTGTGTGTGTGTGTGTGTGTATACAGGTATGGGTACATATATATGGGTACATATACAGGAAGGTGTATGGGAATATATGCGTGCTGTGTGTTGTGTCTATCCGTGTCTAGGCTGACTTCCCCCACCATCTCCACTCCCAGCCTGTGCTTTCTGTGGCTCACCCTTTTGGGACCCCAATGAGATGGCCCTGGGGTCTGTAGTTCAAGCCTAGCTTCTGCCTCTCTCACTGAGGGCTCCCCTGTGAATCCCAATTCCCACATCTGAGAAGTGAGGAAAGACATGTCTTCCTGGCTCCCCCACACTGCTTGTCAGGACCCCTGTCTGACCACAGGGTCTCTGGTGGAGGGATCCGAGGGTTCAGTCCAGCATATGGACTTGACTCCCTGAGATGCATTGAGCGGGCCACAGAATGGGTGTCTCTGAGTTTGCCTGAGAAATGGACTCCAAGTGTCTACTTATAGTAAAAAACTGAAAATCCAGCCTTCCTGCCTTCAAGTCGATCGGGAACCACAGTGACCCTGTAGGACGAGTAGATGCCCCAGAGGCAGACGGCCACATCTGGCCACCGGAGAACTGCCCATGGGTGTGAACCACCAGCCTCTGAGAGGCGGGAGCAGTGACTCTTAACTCACACGTTGTCTCCACAATCCCGGAAAGGCAGCACTGGCCGCTAACAAGTCGGAGCCCCGGCCCGTCTGTCCCCGGCCCGTCTGGCCCCGGCCCAGCCTGACCCTCACCTCCTCGTCGTCCTGCTTGTCTAGACGCTGTGTTTAAAAAGCCATGAAGGACCAGTGGTTCTCAGCATTGAGCTGTTAACCGAAAGGTTGACGGTTTGAACCCGCAAGTCAGACCTTGGGACGGAGATGAGGAAGCCTGGGAAACTCTTTGGGGACGTGACGCTCTGACTCGAGGGTCACCAGGGGCTGGAAAGCACCCAATGGCGGTGGGTCATAGTCCATGTCCACCCATCTCAACAGGAGCCTCCAGTGGTTTGTCACTTAAATTTATGCAAAAAAGGTAGCTTTTTTTTATAATTTAGTTTGTTTCTTTTTCATTTCAATGAACATCTACAGAGATTTTGGAATTCCATTCATTCATTGTTGCACCCTTCTCCCCGCCCACCCCCTCCCTCTCCCCCCCTAAAAGGTGGCTTTTTACTGAATCACGTTAGGAAGCTGGACGTGGGAGATGCCCCTAAACCCCGGATGAGACTCAGAGCCTGGGTCACTGGCTCATCTCGGTGGACGGGACGAGGGTGGACGGGCCATCTGCACCCCGTGAGGAGTGACCGCCCTGCTGTTCCCACAGTCACCCCGTATTCGGCAATCGACACGTGGCCAGGGCGGCGCAGCGGCGGCATGATTGTCATCACGTCCATCCTGGGCTCCCTGCCCTTCTTCCTGCTCGTGGGGTTCGCGGGCGCCATCGTCCTCAGCTTCGTGTGAGTAGGCCTGCAGGAGCAGTGGGCCCCAAGATGCTCTGCCCTGGGGATACAGGAGGCAGGGTGCCCCCAAGGGTGAGGAAGGCTTCATGGCTGCAGGGCCTTCAAGGCTCAGCGCCTAGGGGTTGTCGTCAGACTGTCCACTGAGACCCCAGCCTTGTCCCTTGTCAGCTGTGTGTCCCTGGGCAAATGTGTTACCCTTTCTGTGCCCCAAGTGCCAGGCCTGGAAGATCGTTGTTGTTAGGTGCCATCCAGGTGAGTATGACTCGCAGCGAACCTGGGAGCTTCTGCACCTGCCCCGTCTCAGGCTGTCCTCATCTGCTCTGCTGCACCAGAGCCCATGGCTCCAGTCACTGCGGCGGCTTCCTCTCTGGCCCTGACCTTTCCAAGCATGGAGGGTGGAGTGACAACACATCCTGCCCGTCTGTTAGACGCTCTGGTGGTGCAGTCTGTGGGTGCAGAGCTGCTCATTGAGAGCCTGCACATCTCTGGGTAGAGTCCAGGGGCAGCTGGAAGTGGGGGAGGGAAAGGGAGGAGGGGGAGAGGGAGAAGAGAAGAGAAGAGAAGAGAGAGAAGGGAGGAGGGAAAAGGAGAAGGGAGGAGGAAGAGAGGGAGAAGAGAAGAGGGAGAAGGGAGGAGGGAGAAGGAAAGAGGGGGAGGGAGGAGGGAGGAGGGAAGGAGGAGAGAGGAAGGAGGGAGGAAGGTGGGCCATTTCCCACCTGTTAAAAACCCCAGCCTTGGCAATCCCATAGAGGGTCCCTGCGTGTCCTGACTCACTTGACGGCCATGGGTCTTTGAGTGCGCCCACCCTGTTGACTTCACCTATAGAAGGTGTAGTGACTGCATCCCAGCAAGCCGTGAAGGCAGCGTCTGAGGATTCAGCCCTCAGCTCTCACTGTCTGTCTAACGCTCCTAATTCATTCAGTCCAAGGAGACAGTAGAGTACAGAGGCCCTGAGAGATTGGAAGAGATCAGGGTCACACAGCTGGTGAACACAGACCTGGGGCCCAGCCCTCCTGACCTCACTGACCCTTCTGAACAATGTCCCTAGGGTGTGTCCCAGACCTGCTGGAACAGCTCCTGTCTCTAGGACCTGGAGGACCGAGCAAGAGCAGGTGCCGGTTAAAAGCACCTAGGGGCCTCTCTGTTGGCCTAGTGGTAAGGAGCTGTACTGCCAACCCGAAGGCACGTGGTTCAAATCTCAGCGGGAGCAGGATGGGCAGTCTCCTCCCATGTGAGTAACTGCCCCTGAAAACCCACTGGAGGGTCAGCTATGAGTAATTTCTGACAGGACAGCAAATAACAATAACAATAGGGGGCCGTGCAGAGAGCTCTGCTGACCTAATGGATAGAGTTGTGCTGCCAACTCATAACTGGGAAGTTCGAATCCACTAATTGCGCCAAAGGAGAAAAATGGTCAGTCTCATTGCACACACGTTATGGCCTCTGAAAACCCACCAGCGGGTCAGCACTGACATGACTGCAGTACGTTTCAGCTTCGGAGCAATGGTGTCTCTCTGGAGACTGAGGTGCGTCTGATACAGGCCATGGTCTTCGCAATCACTTGTTATGCATCAGAGAGTTGGACAATGACCAAGGAGGATAGAAGGAGAATTGATGCCTTTGAGCTGTGGTGCTGGAGAAGAGTATTGAGAATACCATGGACTGCTAGGAAAACAAACAGATTCGTCCTGGAAAGGGTTAAACCGGGTGGCGTCTTGGAGGCAAGGATTCTGAGGCTCCATCTAACATACTTTGGACATGCTGTGAGGAGAGACCGGTCCTTGGAGAGGGACATCATGCTTGGGAGGGTGGAGGGACGGCGCAGGAGAGGAAGACCCTCTATGAGGTAGATTGATTCAGTGACTGGGATAATCGGGATGGGAGTGTCAGAGACAGTGCGATTGGCACAGGACAGAGCGGAGTTTAGGGCTGTTGTACATAGGGTTGCTATGAGTCGCAAGCGACTCGACGGCACATAACAACAACAACAACAAGGGCTGTGGAAAAGCCTTGGCTATTAGCAGAAAGCTACAGATGTGCTGCCAGAAAAACTGACCCTGGAGACAGGCCGGAACAGAAGAAAGCAGATGATTTAAAACACATGCTGGGATACAGGAAGGGTGTTCTGGTGGCCTAATGGCAAGAAGCGGCGTTGCAATCCCGAAGGCCCATGGTTCGAGGCCACCAGCTGCTCCACAGAAGGATGGGCAATCTTCTTCCGTGTGATTAACTGTCTCTGAAAACCTGCCAAAGGGTCAGCTGTGGGTCAGTTCCTTCTAGACAGTATACAACAACAGCAATAAAATGAGTGTTGAAAGATCTTGGAGACAGGTTGGAACGGAGGAAAGCAGAAGGTTCATAACGCACGCCAGTACACAGGAAGGGCGCTCTCGTGGCTTAGTGGTAAGGAATTGCGCTGCCAACACGAGTACACAGATGGTTCGAACTCACCAGCTGTTCCTCGGACAAAGACGGGCAATCTCCTCCTGTGCCGTTTACAGCTTCACAAACCCACTGGAGGGTCAGCCACGGGTCGGTTCCTCTTAGACAGCAGTTGGGTTCTCTGGGTCTCCATGAGGCAGGAGGTATGGGCTTCCCAAAGGTCTCAGCAAGGGCAGGTCCTTGGGGGATATCTGCAGGCCAGGTGAAGGGTATGGGGGAGAGCTCAGGTTTAAGCAGCACTTTTAGGGGAGAGAGTAGGGTTATGGTTACTAGTGTGGCACCTGAAAGTTCTCCACAGAGTTAAAGTTGCTAGGAGGGAACTTCTGGGGATAGAACATGTCCAGGCTGTTCGTGGAGGGCGTGTTTCCGGCCCTGCTGTTGTTATGAGTCGACTACGACTCATAGCAACTCTATGAACAACAGCTCTGAACTCTGCTCTATCTGGAGCCAATCTCCCTGTCTCTGACACATCTGTCCCCATTGCCACATCAAGTCAACTAGGACTCACAGCAACCCTATGAATAACAGATCTGAACCTTGCTCCACCCTGCAGGCTTCTCACAGTCTCCCACAGGCTCATCCCATTGTTACAGTCACCGTGTCAATCCCTCTGGTTGAGGAGCTTCTCTTTTGCTGGCCCTCCACCTTTCTCAGCAGGAAGTGTCTTCCTAAGGTCTAGCCCCTCCTGATAGCACAGCCGAAGTATGTGAGGTAGAGTTTCACCATCCTGGCCTCAAAGGAGCTCTCTTGCTGCAGTTCCTCCGAGGAAAATGCATTTGTTCTTTTGCCAGCCCATTCCTGGACACACCACTGTTCAAACGGATCAGTTCTTCAGTCTTTCTTAATCATTGTCCAACTTTCAGATGCATAGAAAGGAATTGACGATGGCTTGGATCAGGCACACCTTAGTCTTTCAAATGACATCTTTGCTCTTTATAAATTTGAAGAGGTCCTTCACAACAGATATTCCCAATGCAGCATGTCTTTTGCTTTTTTTTTTAAAAAATCTTTTGATTTCTTGACTGCTACTATTAATGTTGCTTATGGATCCAAGCAAAATGAAATCTTTGACAGCTTCAATTTTTTTTCTATCATAGTGTTGTCTGCTGTTAGGGACCTCTCCAAAGTATTGAAGAGCAATGGTGTCTCTCTGGAGACTAAG